TTCATACATCCATGCTTTCTTTCAGATCTATCCTTTGTCCTTTTTTCCTGCTTTTGGTAACAAGGGAAGCATGACTGTGTTAGTTGGTGACTTTACCACTCTAAATCACAATCTTGTGTTTTTAAATTGTGTGTACAGTATGAGGCTGTGAAAACTTAGGAATGGATTCAAAACTCCCTTGCTGTTCCTTTTCTGCCGCAGATTCTTGATGCTCAGAACCCTTTGCGTTATATTTATTTAAAGAGGCTGAATAAGACTAAGGATATCAGTAGTTCCCTCAGGAAAAAACTATAAGTAATAATAAATAACAAATATAATAATAATAAATATGTAATAACCTTAGGTCATACACATAAATGCACACATAGTCAATGGAAGTTCTGCACCAGATCTGACACGTGGACATTTGTACAGAAAACAAAATAATTTGCACATGTCTGTTCGTGACACATGATGGCTTGGACATAATTAGGGCAGCTACTTCTCTGTCCTTCATGCGCAAGAGAGCATGGCAACCACAGGCTCAGAGTGCAGTGACTGAAGCTGCTGTAACAACCTCTCAGCTGTAGTTGGGCTTTACAGAACAATCTCAAAGCACCAAAAGAGGGACACCAGAAAGTTTCTTACCCTGTGTGAAAGAAAAAAGGGGATTCTCATCTCTAGAACTACGAAGTGTCAAATTACTAGTACTACTTACTAGGGCTAGCTTCTCTAATGAATAAATAAATAATGCTGAAAGAAAATCAGGAGGGGAAGCAGCATTCATAGCTCAATGGATGTACTGGATATCTGTTTCAGAGTCATTATGCTGGACTTCCTCATCCCGCAGAAATGTGACTTGGAAACTTTACCAAACCTCCTAACTGGAGCACTTTTTGGAAATAACGCTTCAACTGGGCACATCATAGAAAGAAGGAATGAGAAGGCTCTCAGTGACAGCTCTTCTCAAGATAGTTTTTACTGGGTTTTACCAGTTTCATTGGCTCAAAAACATGAGGTACAGGAAAGTTTTCAATCTACTAGAAACTTGATATTCTTGTGATCAAGTAATTTTCATTTCATATGCTAAGTTTAAGATGTAAGAGATGCCGCTGTATAAATACTGTTGTGTATTTACAAGGAGCACCTTGTAATTTGTTTTTAATTTTGTGACTAAACCTGCATCTATTTTTCCTTAGTCCATCTGTAGATTGAAACATTTCTCCTGAATATCAGTGAGTGGTAGCATTTGGGGCTTAGACTTTGTGTATGAAAATAATATTTAGACCTGAAAGAAGGGAGGGATGGGGAGGAAGGTATTTTTAAGATTTGTTTTACCTCTCATCCTCCTGCTCTGATTTTGATTAGTAATAGATTCAGTTAATTTCCCCAAGTCAAGTCAGCTTTGCCCATGTTGATAATTGGTGAGTGATCTCTCTCAGTCCTTATCTTAACTCATGAGCCTTTTGCTGTATTTTCTCTCCTCTTTCCAGTTGCAGAAGTGGGTGATAGAGTGGTTTTGGTGGATGCTTGGACACCAGCCAAGGTCAAACCACCATAATCAGTCTCCACTAAACTGAGTGGGCATTATGTTGAGATTTTGGTAAGATCATCTTTATGATTATGACTGGAAAGGTATAGATTTTGTTTAATTCTACATGGCGCACTGATACTTCTACCTTTTAGCTCAAGAAGAAAACAAAAACTAGTACAGAGTATGATTCCAAAAGTGAACTGAGACTTTAAAACATGTAATTTCACATTAAACACAGAATCTGTATATACAAAATGACATTTGATAGCGTTTTCCAAGCACAGGATTACCTTTCCTTGTTACGATCATATTACAGTACCCTTTCAAAATCTGAAACCAGCTTCAAAATATCTCAGTCTTAGGAATTTTGCACACATTTAGTGTGCAATTTTTGAACACACTTCCCTGCTCTCAGCTCAGGTTATAATGCAACAAAGAAAAAGACCATGTGTAAGAAAAGAGACCAAATAAAAATTGTATTTCAAAGTAAATCTGAAAAATAATCACTCTGCAAGCTACATAGCAATACTTATATGAAAACTGAGAAAAGCCCCTTTCAGATTTTTCTTTCAGCACTCTTAGCAACATGGTTAAATATGGGATTGCCAAAACTAAACGAAGGAATCTTGATAGTAGTTATCTCACAAGGAACAGCTTGAAATTCACAGCACCTGGAGGCTGTGGTTTTCATGCTGTTTTGTAAATGACGCCATGGGAAAGTGCTAAGCTATCTTTTAGAAATGGAACTGTGATAATGAACTATTTAGGATTAGTTTAAAAAAGGTTATCGGTGGTAGGTGACTGGTTAATCAATGGGCTTTTTTTCCAGAATTATATAACTTGGGATATACCTGTACTGCAGTCACAACACAAACTGCTCTCCAACAGTTTAATATCCTAAGTAGTGCTAGAAATTTAGAGCTGGGATCAATCTACCAGTAACTCAAGTACAGGCTGAGTGTAGTTGCTTTTTTGACAGCTCAGCCTGGTGTTGCCTTGGTCTACTTATTACCTGCCCCTAAACTGCTGAGTTTAAATTGTGCTTCTCTGTCACAATCATTTGTGGCTGCAGTCCTTGCTGTCCTTGGCCTAAATTTGGCTCCCAAATGTACAAGTGCAGTTCTACAATACATTAGCTGAAATCAATTAAGTCTCTCTCAATTTAAAGCAACTGAAAGCTGAATTTGACCAATAAACGCTGCTGACACTCTAAATGCCTGTATCAAATGCAGTGCTGCTGTTCTGGTTTGAGCCAGCAGAGAATTTAGCTATGTATCAGAAAATCAATTAAGTGAAACCTTCAAACAATCAGAGCTAACCTCTCATCTTGAAAAGCACATGGAAACATGTATCAACACTATAATAATAATAATGATGAAAAAGTATGAAAGTGTGTATGAAGCTGCATCTGTTTTATATGTACACTATTACTTTGGGAATAGAGAGGAATATCTGCATAAGACCACATTTTTCTAAACAAATTATTTAATCTCCAGGGACTAACATATGAAAAAGTTCTACCACATTATGATGTGGCTCTCTGATGTGACAGCTTTGATATTCTGGATTAATCAGAACACTTTGACTCCTTTTTGCTGAATGATTAAATGCAAAGTAATATTTAGATGCCTGAGATTACATATACAGCAATAGGAATATGTAGGCCTGAGAAGGAGGGATATGGATATTCCCATTTTAAAGCAGGCAAACACCTTATCAAAGGCAAATGTCTCAGGATAAGGGAAAAGTTAGGGAGTATACAAGTCTGTTCACATTTAAATTAGGAGTAGCTGTAGTGAAGTGTAAAGTCAGTAAGTGCAATATCAGGATCAGAACCTCTAATTATCTCACACCAGCACTCAAAAGGTGTTATCTTATTCAGCAAAGTCCGTTACAATCCTTATACTTCCTTCAGCTAGTAGCTTCCATGTTTAAGTCGAATACTAATTGTTAGTCTTATAATGAAGCTTACATATTTTCTTCTTACTGAGAATAAAAGAGGAAGTGTTTTTACTTTGAAGAGTGAGTGACAATAATGCTTTGGTTGATTGAATAGTGTTTCAGGAAGAGATTGAGAAGGCTTTGAGAGGCTTTTGCTATAGTGCTTCCTGAGATTAGACTTACTGTGTTCTCCTGCAGTGGTATAATTAGATATGTTTTTATTATAATTAGACAGATATTTATCATACAGAGGTACAAGGAAACCCAAAATTCAACTAAAAAATCTTTGGTTTTAGCTAAAATATTTTGCTAAAGTCAATTCTTTGTTTATAAGCTACCTTCCTGGAGTTCTGCTTCTCCAAACAGCTGTTAACACCTGACTTTTTGGGTCCAGAAAATGAGGATGGTGTAGGACAAAGAAGGCTCACTTGTAAGGCTTAGATTCTGGGCAAATGTCCTATGGTGGAAGCTAGAGCCAGAGCATTGTTTCTGTAGGCAAAGACTGCCAACTGAAACATCGATGTCCAGTGATTTATTCTTTTCCTCTTCTATCCTGCCAGGATTACAGTCTCAACTGATGAAGTGGTAATTATATGCATAACTAGTTCTTCAAATTAACCCTTCTTCTATGGCCTATTTATGCATCTGATGAAGTCACAGGCAAAGTTTCCGCTTTAGGTGGGGTTTTTTTGGGTGGTTTTTTTGTTGGGTTTTTTAAAATTATATATAGCATAGAGGTTATCATTCAGAGGTGCCAAATCAGATTAAGGTTCCCCTCTTTTTTTTTTTTTTTTACTTTACTGAAGTGTTACAAAAACGCTGACAAGTAGAGGAGGAAAATTTTCTTCCTGCATATCCAGTCTCATCACACTGTAAAGGATGTGAAATAGAACATTTTTATAGAAATGACTAAACTGATAATGATTATAGCATACATTTCTCAAATTAAAACAGCTGGTGAATTTCATGCCAAGTGCCTTCCATGCTGTGAAATAGCAAAACAACACATTCCAAAAGTAAGGCCTTTCAGGGTGGTAGCCTGTATAATGTATTCAAAGGATCTCACTGCTGATTCAGAAAGTCTTGATCAAAATCTCCACTGTGTATTTTGACACTCTCAAAGAGCAAATTACTTAGTAACAAGACTTGTGAAAAAGATTGAGAAGAATATATTGCACACCTGGAGACCAATTCTGAACATAAACTCTGGGCCACTCGACAGATGGAACTGAGGGCCATTTCATATTTTTTTTGAACAAAAAACACACACACACAAAGAAGGATATTTAGATTCTCAATTCCCAGACAAATCAAATCTGTGGAAGTTAGGCACCTACTCTCCTGAAAGCAGTTACTCTGCTCAGAGCATAGCTCTCACAGCCCTCAGTTATTATAAAGTGCTTATCACTTCTGCAGATCTGAACCTGGGAGTGGAGAAAATCAGTTTGCAAGCAGATATTTAAAAGACTCTGTGCATTGATCATCTGTAGTGGGAAAAAATTTTGGCCCAGTGGTATATTCAGTGTCACAGAAAATATTCAGAGCAGAGGGATGGTCTTGCTTTTATTTCTCAGCTCTGCAGCTCCCTGCTGCTCATTTACTTTCTTATCACACACCTCCAGCATCTGTTCTGGTTTTGCATCTCAGTTTCTGCTTTTCTTATTTGCTCCAAAACAGTCTGCTGCTTTTTCTGTCTCTCGGTCACCTAGGTCTTTTCAGAGCAGCCACTGAGTCATTCTGCCAGTGCAGCAGGTACTATGTCACGGCAGATGCAATTCCAGGGGAAGTCCCATTCATTCCTCAGGCTTTGTGGAGAGCTGAACAGAGAAGGTAGAGTTTTATAAGTTTTGCTATCAAACCACTGAGCAGATACAGACCAGAATATTCAAGGCTTGTAAACTAATTGGAGGGGATATTCATCAGAAAAAACCCCCCAGTATTGGAGGTGATCCTTCTATCAAATCCAAAGCTCCTGCTTAAAAGAGGAGCCCTAACAAATATCCTTAAAGTGCTCTACCATGGTGGTTCCTCTATATTGTCTAATTTCTGAGGAAGTCACTTATTGACTTCTGAAAAACAACGACGAAAAATGGTTCAATCTAAACAGGTAATATTTGAAACACATGCGAAGAGCTGTAGGAAAATCTTATTGTAGAAAGGACAGAAAAAAATACTTCAGTCCTTGGTTTGCAGAGAGGAAAACCTCCAGACTAATATATTTGCAGACTTCCATGAGTTCTTCTTTTTCTTTTCTTTATTATTTTAGTATTTGCTGCGCGTTAAGAAAACAGAGTGGGAGGACTAACTGCCACCAAGTTCACAGATGCATCTGTGAACACACTTATTTCATATAAAGGTAAATAGATCAGTGTAGATGTACATGTACGCACATATCTGTATATTCAATGTAATTTCTGTAGCAAGGTATAACTGTGATATTGCTCAGCTTTAAATAGCCTTGCCATTTTTATTACCCATGTCTACAGGCAGCAGTCTTTTTAATGAAGTAAATGTATCTAGCAACGCATTAAAATCAAATATGATACTCAAGAGTCTCATTCTCTGCTAACAGTTAAGCATTCCAACGTGAAGCAATTTCCAGAACATGGTCATATGCAGCAGTTTCCTTCTTTTAAGTTAACTTAGATGTTTTACCCCTAATTGGACATTAGAGCATTAAGAATATTTTGTGTTTTAATGTTCTCATCAATATGTTCACTCTCTGACAGGAAAATAATGCTGGTAAAATTAGAACACTGTATCAGCCTGAAAAATGCTTGCATACTTACTTTGGACAAAGAGAAGAGAAACACCTGAAATTGCCAGATAACTATCTTATTTTTTTTCCATCTTTCTTCAGCAGCTCCAACAGCTCTGTTGTTGTTGTTGTTTTCTTACAGGAAAATAAATTAATAAACAGAACAAGAAATTTAATTGTGTTTATAGTATTTGATGCTGTTCTACATAGTCATACTTTCTAGTTTTTCTGTGAGGAAATATTGACTCGGGAATTCAAAATAAGCCTCAATTTCATGGTCATCTGTGATTCGAATCTTTGGATTAATGGTCAGCTCAAAAGCTTATCTCGTATGATCTCTTACTCAGTCTGAACCAGGAGACTTCACCTGGTGCAATGTACTATGTCCTAAGATGAAAACCATATCCTTCTACACCAAATTTGATTTAAATTAATTTAAAAACCCCTTATATATTAGGGCTGACCAAATCATAGTTGTTCCAAGTGTGTGTATGGGTCAGCAGCACTTCAATTCTACCAGGTCCTCAGAAATCCCATCAGAACTTCTGGAAGGTATTTCTGCCTTCTCTGATAAGCCCTTAGAAACCTTGATTGAAAAAAATACAAATGCCTTGAAACTAATGGGTGAAGTAAAACCAAGAGTTCATTCCAAAATTTACTTGAGAATTTGTTTTGTTTTCAAAGATACTCATCCTCACAATAAAATCACACCAGTTGGATTATTATTCCTATCTTAAGTTTTAATATGCAGAACTGAAATGCAAATTTTATTTTCCAAATATCTTGTTCGTAATTAACTGTTATTATTTTTTCCCAGTGGAATATTGTTTTTTAAAAGAATTAATAAAAGTATTTCTATTGGTCTTCAGTTACTCAAGCAGACTGCTAATTTTCTCTGTGTTTCATTTGTTGAGCTTTAAATCTTTTTGTCCTTCTGTAAGTCAGTATTTCCTTGATTTTTAAATGAGTAAACAACAAGTTGGCTTGTGCTTGGTTTATTCTCTCCCCCAATATCTTTGTGGATGTACCATGTGAGCCAGCAGGAACAGCAAATCATTTCTATACTGGAAATGAATGAAACTTGCTAATTCTTTCTTTGCTCTGAAGTAATGCTCAGACTAGATAGATAAAAGGAAGAAGTTTTGTCTTGATTTTTTGCTACATAATAGAATTATTTTGAGAAAAATAAATACTTTTTACATTTTCTATGCCTTTTTAACCTCGAAGATTATAAATTGAAAATTGCTTTTTCCCATCGCCTCCTTTAAAGCCCAAAAAATTTGGTTACTAATATTCTTTGTTTCCAAGTGACAAAGGTGGCCTGAAAAGATAAAAGCAATTTCCCCGAGCAGAAGAATTGTTGCTCTACTGATCTAAGTCATACACATTTGCTACAGGACCAGAAGAGCAGTTGAAAACAAACTATTTAACCTACTGATGGTGGGAAACCATGAGAATATAGAAACAAATTTAAATTTCATATTTTGAGAGCATGAGCTTTCACAATCAAAACACCAATGGCAGCTGGTTGTTGACAGGCAAGTGTTAATCTGTATTCTTCAAACCTCATGTTCTGTTTTCCATCATATTTGTGTTCTGAAAAATTGGAGAAATTTAAGAGTTTGTGCGGATACCCAGGGAAGAGTGAGGGAAAAAGAAGAGAGAACAGTTCTTTAGGGAATTAAACTCTCATTACCCATGAACAGTTCTTAAGCAGCTAAGATCTCAGGTGAAACATTGCCTCTTTGCAAGTGCTTCCTCACTCTTTTTAGGAAATATCTTCTACATCGTTGACTAGAATGTGTTGTTTTGTTGGAATTTTTTTTTCTGGAGGAACTTCTCTCAAAAGGCCATCTGACTATCATAAACCAACTGAGGTAAAATAATTTAGTATGGGAAGAAGCAGTAAATTTTTGAGGCTGTGGATTCCATTTGGACATATGTTATGAGAATCCTGTAAATATTAGGATATCATGAGAATCCCAGACCACATGATTATAAAAGCTGCATCAAGACAGTAACAAGTCATGCACAATACAGTCTCATATCTCAGATAGAAATGCAAATTTATAATACGAAATCTTTTTAATTGTAACAACAGCAATTTTTGTTTGTTTTATAGACAATTATTAGTGTTCCTTGTAAATGTCATCTTGATTTCTGGCCTTTTAAAAATTTACTCAAAGAGAGATAAAATGTGCAATGGAAGAATGTTCTTTGTAACTGCATAAATAAAATCTTGGATCCTCAGATCTTATCATCCTATTCTCCTGGATTTTATCCCTCTACCGGAGTTGACAAAGTGTGTGTTTAACGTAGTGTATCAGTCATGAGATCACTTCAATTTTTAATATGAAAAAATCTCTGCATTATCAATAGAATATTAAAAGTTTTTTTTATAAAGGTGGGTATAAAAACTGCTGGTTAATTTCCAAATAGCTTATTTAGTAATTTTCCTTTTTTCATTTGCATTAATTACTTGCTAGAGTTTGATAGTCTTTTTGTTGTTACTAAATCACTTTCATAAATGTCCAGAAAGTAAAATGAAACTGGAAAACAAAACTTGTCATCAAATTATACCCCATTTCTAAGAGTAAAAATGGTATTTAGATGTGTAAAGTTTGGAATTTTATCAAAACACTTAGATTTTTAATTCTTGATTTGCTTATAAGTTAAAAAATCTATTGGCAAAAGAATATTTACTGCAGCTATGCAATATATACAGACAAAATTATACAAAAGAGATTAATCTTAAGACACTTGTAAGAATACTTTAAACCCTTGTAGCATGACAAGAAGTGAAATCAATGATGTATAATATAGAGAACACATGACCCCCTCTTCAGTTATTTGAATTTTCTTTGTGAGCCAGAGGGTTTTTTGACCTATTGGATAGAAAAAATCACTCATTTGGTTGAAAGACATGGGTTTCAGACGTCAAAGATTTTAAAGTTGTAGTGTCGCTGTAAACATGAGGTTTTGGTTTGAACTGCAGAGACCGTAGTCAAACCGTTAATAGTGATACCTATAAAAAGATACCTGTATAGAATAGAGAAACCTATGTAAAGCCAGGAAATTTGTGGACCATGATGTAGACACATACAGTCAAGCTAAATCTCTTTCAAGATAAAGGGGTTATACTGAATGAGCAAAAGGTTTCCTTTCCAGACTGAATGCACATCTTAGGACTTTTAATTTGGTCATGAAGTACAACTTTTAGTTGATCACAGATATTGTTTTGTTTTGTCATTGATCTGGCTTTTTTTTGACTTTGGTATGTGAAGCATCTGATCAGTCATGAGCATCTGTTCAACTGAGTTATCTGCTCTGAGATGGTACACTGGCTACAAGTGGCTGCCCTGGTCAGGCTTTTTGTTTGGTTTTTTTTTGCAGACTCTTCAGTTAAGTGGAAGTGAGTGAGCTACCTCATCTTATCATGGTATCTAAAGGTGGAAAGGGAAGGTTCTGTGATCATTGAGGCATGCAGGTGAAAGGCAAATTCTATAAATGATACGGAAATTGGATGTACTCTACTGCTGTTTAAATGTGACTGTCTGACATTTGTTTTTGCTGACCTCTGCAGATTACCTCGCATTTTGAACCATGGGATTTTCGATGTCACACATCTCTCCAGCAAATATGAGCTCATCTAATCTGGAGAGAAAATATTTAAATACTTTTTTTGCCAGCAACAATAACTTTGACTTTTACCTTTTCCCCTTCACATTTAATAGTGATGTTGATTGACACTGCAAAAGTGTATTAGATTGTTATGAACTTAAACCAGAATTGCACTAGACTGTAACTAATAATAGTTCAGCGCTAACGTAGGTTAGTATCTATTACTGAGAATTCTGGCATTTATCATGTCTTTAATTAGATAATGACAACAGGAAAAAAGTGAAAGAAATGCATTAAAAACAATACTATCAGTTTCAGGATTTCTGTGTCAATACCTTTGAGTTCACAAAGGGATCCAGAGGGATCCAATTTTTTTAACTGAGGCGATCATAGGGTTGTTGCTATGGTATTGTTATTTGAATTTGCTCACTTTTGCTTCTCTAAATCTGTGGAATTGGCTTATCCCTGCTATTTGAATAAATATTGGGCTATCATGCAGCAATGAAAAGCAAAATGCTGTGACTGTAAACATTTTAATTGACATTTTTGTCTCCATTAAAAGCTGATTTTCTCATTACACTAGTCTAAATCTTCAGCATCTTTACAGTTTGCTTCCACTTTGATCACTGAACTGAGAATGAGATTTTCCCACAGATATCTTCTGTCCTACTGCGTGCATATTTTATTTTATTTTGGTTTTGCTTCTACATTTTGGAAAGTTTCAGGAAGCGTTGAACTGAAAGGTACTGATTCCTTGTATTAGAATTCTGTTAAAAATCTCTCTTGTCCAATAAGATTAAGATATAAGCTCAACCTTGTGCTAGTCTGCAGAATACGTGGTGTTCTTGACCCTGGGGGCAGATTACCCAGTTTTAACTCTTGGTTACCCTAAAGTTGGATTTTTAGTGCCTGTTAGGCTGAAAAAAGGTAGACCACTTGCTCTAGCAATAAAAGCCAATGTTACCTGAACAGAACCACAGAATCACAGAATATACTGAGTTGGAAGGGACCCACAAGGATCATCGAGTCCAACCCTTAGCCCTGCACAGGACCATTCCCAAGAGTTACACCATGTGCCTGAGAGTATTATCCAAACGCCTCTTAGATGTGTGCTAAAAGGCATGGATCAAATTGCATCTTCCAACCTTCACTGTATCTTTCCATATTCACATGTCATTGTTCAAAATAATGGCTAGAGCCCTTTAGATGTGCCATTCTGATCTCTGCCATTTGAGTTATTGTAGCTTGCAATGGTGCCAGTAATGGGATGTCATTCTCTGTTGCAGCCTATGCTGCAAAAGGAAAGGTCTCTCTTCCAGTGGGTTTTCAAATGGGTCCGTAACAGATGATACAAGATGAGATTCACAACCCTCAGGCTCTCTCATGTTCTAGGAGAGTGTACTCTACAGGCACAAACTTTCATGCCTGCTTCTTTTTTTCCTTTCCACCCAATCTGTCCCTGTTGCAGACACTTTCTCTCTCCTAGCTCCTTTCTCAGGCCTTCCTCCATTCCTTGCTGGTCACATTCAACTGATGTAAAATGACAACTGAGAAAAAGCAGTACCCGGGCTTTACTCTGCTCTTTTTGTTATGACAACCACCAAGTACTTTCTGAAAGTGTTTTTAAATTCCTAAACACTAACTCTTCTGACAAACAGACCCATACTAGGAGGTTCAAACTGCAACTTTCCTTGTGTTAGTTTCATGAGAGTTAATGATATGAAACATGAACAACGGAATTTCTATGCTACTGAAGTCTCAGGTACATTCTTTGAAAATCTGTTTCAGATAAATTAACACCAGCTCTACTGAGAATTTTTGTCCTGGTTCTGCCTAGGATAGGGTTAATTTCTGCAGTAGCCAGGAGGGGCATAGACAGGATCCAGAGGTTATTCTACATCACCTCTCATCACGCAGAGAGGATGAGGGTGTGGGGGCAAAGGGGTTTCCTTCCAGTCGTGCCAGTAGCAGAGGAGAAGTCTGGGTATTGCCAGGTTCTGTGTGTGGACTTTTGCCTCTCTTATTAATATTGCTGTTGTTACTGTTTGTTTCTTAGGTCATTGCTGTTTCTAGTAAATTTTTCTATCTCATTCTATGATATTTTCCTTTTGTGCCTCCAGTTCTCCTCTCCAGCCCACTGCAGGGGTAGGAGGCAGTGAACAAGCAGCATGTGGTTTGAAGTGTTTTCAGTGGGAACACTAAATTGGGAAAGAATACTAAATTGGGAAATACCACTCCTAAACCATGACAGTTTTTTACTTTGTTTTGGGAATAATGTCTTCTCTGTCTTAGTACAAAGCCTTTGCTTATTTAGTAAGATGCTGAAAAAAATGTCAAGTCTGTTTTGGGGACTTGCTACTGCTTGCACTTGCTTCATCTTATGCTGGGTATGTTGAATCTATTTTGTCATCTATTGCTTTTTGTCCCATGTTCTATTCATATCAGATTGTTGGATTGTCTAAAGAGTGGTTATTTTAGAATAGAATAGAATATTTTCAGTTGTAAGGGATGTATGGTGATCATCTAGTCCAACTGTCTGACCACTTCAGGGCTGATCAAAAGTTAAAGCCTATTAAGGGGGTTGTCCAAATTCCTCTTCAACACTAACAGATTTGTAGCATCGGCCACCTTCTAGGAAGCCTGTTCCAGTGACTGACCACCAACCTAAACTTCCCCTGGCACAGATTTGAAACATTTCCATCTGTCATACCAGGGAGAAGAACTCAGCACCTCGCTCTCCTCTTCCCATCCTCAGGAAATTGTTGGGAGAAATTAATTTTTCACTCAGCTTCCTTCTCTTCAAACTAGACAAACCCAAAGTCCTTACTGCTCCTCATAGGAAATTCCTTCCAATCCTTTTATCAGCTTTATTGTCCCCCTTAAATTATGGTGCCCGTTTTTTCTTGTTAGAGTTCTTTGATATCCAGTTTTTGTGCTTAGATGTTTGGCTTTTTTAATTTATGAAGTTATAAGGTAATAGCTATCAGCTACTTTTTGAGAAAGGACTTGATAAAGAGGAAAAGAGCTTTTCCTATAACGATCCGATGTATATCAGAGAATCATTGAAGTTGACATGGTGTGGTAAGCATGTGCTCCTATAGGTCAAAATGGACCTGTAAGGGGGAAGTATTTCAGGAGTGTATCTGTGCAGTCCTCAAAGCAGAGTTAATTGCTAAGGGGAAAAAAGGTCCTATCTGTCATTTGAGAGTCCATTTAAAGACATATCTTATTCCTATACAAGATTAAATAAAAGTATTCCATCAACCTTATTTTAGCAAAGAGTAGCCTTTGCAACTTGGTAACTTGTTTGGAAGTACATTTTCTGAAAAGTTATCTACCAGTAGTCCTACTGAGAGGACACCTTCAGAGGTATTTTGCTTTTTTTTATTAGTTCGCAGATCTGGATCCTTTTCGTAATCATGGCTTTATAAAGATGTCCCTTCATATTGCTAGAGACTAAATGCAAGCGAATTTCATAAAAACACCTTAAATGCCAATATCCTCTTTTCCTGCTGCTCTGCTCAGTGATGTTGCATTCTTGTTTGTCAATGAAAATACAAATTTAATACTGGGTTGCCTCATACAGGAAAACTTGTGAATATAAATTTACTGTGTTTCCTTTTAAAGTGATCTACCTTCACTTTCCATCAAATTAATTCTCTTACAGAGTATGTACACTAAGTGTGGTCTCTTTTCTCACCCTGAGAGTTGCTTTGGGTTTTACTTGGCTTTAATCAGGCCATTTGTCCTGTTTTACTCAACCTCTTCTTGCTCGGTGCAAAATTTCTTTCATAATCAGTCTTAAAAATTACTATGGCATGAACTTGCTGTGAACCCCACAGCTTGCCTCTAGCATTTCAAACAGATCAGCTGTAATACATTGGTGCAATAGGCAGTGAAGAAAAAAAATTGATGCTTGATCAAATACTACCCCTTTTTCACAAGGACATTGTTTGTTACAGGGAATTTGCCACAAAAGTATTGGCCCATGCTTTTTTTTATGATTATCTCTTGGAATAGAGGAAAGCTGTCATATGATGATTTCACCTGAACATCAAGAAACAGTTTTTTACTGTGAGGGTGAGTGAGCAGTGGCACTGGTTGCCCAGAGTGGTTGTAGAATCTCCATCCTTGGAGATATTACAAAGCTACCTGTATATGGTCCTGGACAACCTGCTTGAGCAAGTGGCTGGACCAGATCACCTCCAGAGGTCCCTTCCGACCAGAACCATTCTGTGATCTTATGGCCTTCTGCTTTTCCACCTTTCATTTGGAAGTAGATAATAAATTTTGTTTGTCTTGTTCTTCTGACTGGCATTGGAAAAATTGGATTTTGTTGCTTCTCTATTTTGAAAAAAGGTCAGTCTGTACTCTGAACTAGCTATATGGTTCCCCTTGAAGTCACTAGGAAGAAATAGGTGCCTTCAGTACAGTTAACTCATCCAGAGATAGCTGTCTACTAACTTTCAGGTCAGAGTAAGCAAGTAGTTTAGAGGACACGTGTAATTTCTGTCTACCTACAGTTAGGGGAGATGAATTCCACTGTAGGTTTCCATATGGTCTTTCTCTCTTGCCTTTTTTTGGAGTGGTTCTAATCTCTTAGGAGATTTTCTGTTTTCATTAGTGTTGATATTATGATATGAGAATATAGGAGGCAAAATATTACACATTTGGCTTGTGTGACGTCCTGCTGTTTGGAGAGACACATGAGGTTGCTCTGCAAGTGCTCAGTACAACAAATGTGAACACGTATTCCTCTTTCCTCTAGAAAATTTGTTACTGGACTCTTTCCATCCCTTGCCCTGAAAGCAGGGTAAAACACTCCCTTAGTCTTCTGGTTTATATTTCTTTGTTATAGAAGGACAGACATCCTACCAGTTGGCTGAAGATCTCATGACTTAGTTGCTATTTATTCTGTAGTGTGAGGCTAGTCTGCATAACTTGATAAGCACATACCTGTCTTGTGTACCATGCATCAAATAGCTAACATTGCAAATTGAGTAACAGGCACTAGCCCTTAAAAATGCTCTGTAGCAGTGCGTATTTAATTTCTGCCTGAATAGTTCCTGTGGCACTAAAGCTGCATTATATGGGAAAACTGTGGTTTAAACATGTCTTAAACTGGCTCTTTGTGGTCTTTTTGCAAACACGTGTTTCTTCTTCCCAACACCCCCCATGACAACTGTTATCTCCCATGCAGGAATGTCCTGGGAAAGGTGTCCTGAGGTGTTTCCCATTGGTCCTTGTTAACCCCTTCCTGTGATTGGGTGTTCCTGTAAGCCCCTTGAGACTTCTAATTGGTTAACCTGTGATTCTCCCTAACCCTATAAATGTAACAACCCCCAACAATAAGCACCCTCTTGCCTCCTCTCCACGCCGGTGTGCTGTCTCTGTGCCTGCCATGGAGCCACGTGGGTGGTGGGGGGAGGGGAGGGCACCTCTCCCCTCCAGGCTCAGGGCCAGAAATCCCTGAGGAAACCCCTGGAGTTCCCTTTCCCCATCCCTCAAGACGTCGGAATGGTTCTTCAGATGGAGATGGAACTAGAACTGGGCTCCCCCACGTTGTGGGTGGGGAAAGGGATCCAGAAGTTCCCTCTCCTGGAACACACAGCTTGAACTTTTCCCACCTGAGTAGTACAGAAAGAGCTTTCACCAGTAGTGGTAAATAAAATAGGCCTTACAGTGCACCTTCATATGCTTAAAACTGTCCTTCTGCTCTATTCTCACTCCTCATAATGGTTTTGCCAATGCTGGCAACTCAACAGTTGGGTCAGGGCTCCAGGTTGTGTTCTCACTCTGTTTTACTTGCCAGTATGGAAAGCCTCTGTGTTTGGTGGGTATCTGGGTGCAGGAGCTATAGCATTTTCTCTTGCCTGAATAGCGGCCCAAGTACATTGCCAGTGTCAAGACTGGTGGCTCCCTGGGGATGGGCATTACGAACGACAGGTGGACGATCGCAGGCAGGTAGGCAGGGCCTGTCCTGTCTCCCCACACAGGAACAGGGTAACGGGGGGGCACCAGGGCAGCCACAGCCCAGGCATTGGGCACCTCTCTAGGGATTGGGATGGGCCAATGTCAGTTTGGGACATGGGCCCACGGTGGCCCAGCTTGGCAGGGCCCATGGCTGGCCAGGGCAGGCCTGTGGGGAACTGGAGACTGGTCCTGCTGTGGGGATACTGGGGCAGGGGCTGGTGGCCCCAGGGTTCTGACATAGGGTCCTGGGCCACGGGGTGTGTGGGGTGAGTTCTGGGAAGGTGCAATGGGGTTCTCCCTGGGGTGGGAGGCAGGGAAGAGGCCCATGCCGATTTAATTTCATTTCAGACTTCTTTCTGGGCTACTTCTGGAGAAGAGGTGAGGGAAAATGTGAGAGACTGTAATGTTAATCATTAAGGACTCAGCTGTTTGCAAAAGCAGCACGGTGCTTCACTGAGGCCAGGTTTGCACCCCTCAACCAAAGAGGAGGAGGAGAGTTTTCTGTGTGAGGTAGCGAAACCTCTGATCTGCATAAGACAGAGAAGGTGCACACCCGCTATGGAAGGTTACAAACTGGATTTTGGGCCAGATAAGGGAGAAGGCAGATGAGAAGCAGACCCTGTGGAGGTGGGATAGTGCCAATATCCTCCCTTGCACAACTGGCTCAGTTGTAAAACTTCCCCTCACTCCTTGGGGAAGATGTTGAGACATACACATTCATGCGGGACATTCACAGGTAGCCCTGAAGGTATTAATTCTTTATGATAGTGAATAACTGTCTGAACTATACTGACATGAGAGGCAGCTCTCACATCTGGGAAGGGGTCATAAACCATCAAAGACCCCTGAAGTACCCCCATAGTAATTTCTGGGACCTTCCACCAGAAGACTGCACCATCCAAAGTGTTGCAATAGACAGGGTAAAACTCCCACTCCCAGGGGAGATACCTGGGCATTCCCATGTAAACCTAACCTGTTGAACGTTGTGTTTCACAGGCTTCCCCCACTCCTGACAGATCAAGACTGCAACCATCACTTTGACCAATGGACACCTAAGTTGCAACTATCAAGTCTCATCGCTTGATCTATGGGTGGTAATATCTTTCTACTCTTATCCTTTCTTTCTCTGTCTTTCTTTTCCTTATACATTTTCTTAAGTGTTATTTTCATGCTTTTATATTGGTATCTTTCTATAGATAATAGCCAAAATGGCTACATACCTCCTTTCCTTTGCAACCAAATTGTTCTAAAGTAGCCCCTATATATACATACATAAATATATTTGTAATTAGGGGCCATTCAGTGTTGTTTCACTCCAATCTACCCCAAGGGATCTATTAACAAGGACCTGAATTACCCTTGTGTTTAGGGGTGGGTCATGCCCCCATCTCAGCTCCCACTGCTGGTGGGTTTGCCACAGCATCCCTCACAGGGGTGTCGGTTCTCGAGGTGGCTGATGGCATACCCTGGGCCACACCTTTTCCATGTCCGTCCACTGCAAGTGTGGATCCAAAGACTGCTGTCTGGGTGTGTAACCACAGATGATTGTTATTTAGGCAAAAATGGTAAAAGGCATGATTTATATTTCATGTTATAAGTAAAAATGAATGATTTTGATCTGTTCCTCTGCCTATTTTCGGCACCATATTTTTTCTCTGTGTATCCCCACCACCAGGTTTGGAGGCTGTGTGTTCCCAAACCTCTTCTTATTCTAGCTCTATCCCTTTCCTCTGAGAGACTGGGACTCTCAGACACTAAGACTCCTCTGCTGTAGCATGATCTCTTTGCTCTATGGTATTTCACTGTCTCCTGCTCATTCCTGCATGCTTTCTGAGCTTCCAATGAAAGAGCAGAACATGTACACTCTATAATGTGCACTAACCATTTTCTGTGGTGGTAACTGCAAAGTAGATAGATATTTCCACTTGGTGACATGTACTGATTTTATTATGAAGAGTTTTGTTTTATTATATCATGTAACAGTTCTTTAATTGTGAGCAACTAGATGTAAACAATTATTTATTATTATTATTATTATTATTATTATTTTTTCTAATCTTTAATGTATATGTTTGGCTTCCTGATACCTATCATATACTGTATTCTGAAATTTTGCTATATAATGTGTAATACTAAAATCAAATAAATAGAGGTGTTAACTCTTTTTAAGTGTGGGCACTTCTGAATTTTTTGTCTCTAAGCGTCTCAGTTCATTTCTTGCCTCAAAAGTCCTTCATTGTATGGATGCAGTAGTGCATTGGCCACACAGGGTATGGTTTTTACTTTTGTGTCTCTCACAGGAATCATCTGTAATTTAGGTTTAATGTTCTAGGGCTAATAACTTTCTTGTTTTTGCTAAATGTCTTCCTAACATTTACACTACTTGAAATTTAACTTTATCTACTTCTTACTTGATATCCCACTCGTAATTTACTTGGCCTAATGGTACAGAGATTATACTATCAAAGACTTAAAAATCTGGTTTTGCTATTTCCCGTCTCTTTATGTACACTTCTGAAGAGGTCTTTGTGTCTTTCACACACACTAATGCCCACTGTTCATTTGCATTCTATTTCTTATTGTGTTGTACTGCCCTGTCTTTGCATCTGGTGCTAGTCTGAACTTCACAGTCCATTTATTTTTTTGCTGTCTGGCACTTCAGTGATGTCACATACATGCAAAAATCTCTGAGTCACTGATTACTTTCTCAATATGGGGGCACTTTTTCTTTGTCTGCCATCCTTTGCATAATGACTTGTCAGAATTTTTGCATGTGACCCCATGTAAAGGGCATTTCATTATTATCTTTTTTTCTCCTCACAATAGCCATAAGTCTTTGGATTTTCTTCATATCTTCTGCTTTGTGTTTGTATGCCTTTCTTTGTTGAATTTTCAGTAAATTTTCATACTTTCCTTGCTCTGCCTTCTTAAATACCTTTGTGACTGCTTTTCCTATGTTCTCTATTTGGATGTGAGTTTGTACACTAGCAGTGCATGTCTTTAGTTCTCCGTAGAGTTAATGGGATCCCTAAGCATTCTCATTTGAGTGCCTGGATTTTTGTCCTGTCATTATTCTATCACAAATTAGTTCAGCCTGTACAGTTTGGTAATTGCATGAATCAGTCATCTTTGTGTAGTTTGCCAAATCTCTGACCCATTGTTCTGCATTGATGGTTCTTGATTTACAGAAAAAGGAGTCTTTCATGTAGCAGAATTTTTAAATGAATTAAAATGCTCCGGAGCATTAAGATTTCTCCCTACCTGCTGCTGACGTAGTGGGATGTCACTGAAGTACAAGACACCCTTTGGCCATAACAACTGTACCAGTCTACTCCTCTTGTGTTTTATTTTTTCCCCTATTTTCTAGAGCCATGTCAAAATCTGTTATCTTCTTCCTTTGTTTCAGCAGTTTTGTATGTTATCTCTTTAAATACTCATCTGCTCAGACATTAGACTACATTGTCCCTTAGCTTATTATTTTTGTTGTCTGTAAGATCACTTTAAATTTCCTGTAATTGTACATAAGCACAAACAAAAATAGTCAAAAAAGATACACATTCATATTTTGTTCCTTCCTTCACAAGTAAGGTCTTCACCACTCTTACAAACTTCAGCATTTTATATCTAGGAAGAGCTCTACAACATTGTTCTTACAATCTTACTCTCATCCTTCTGTCCCCTCCATCTCTTCACTCTGTGTCTGGCCCCTAATCACTTGTTCATTATCCCCCTCGCTCTGTTCTGAATCTCACAGTTTTGTGTCATGGTATCTTTGCCTAGTCAGCTCCATACCCCATGCCTCATCAAATCTGTCTCAGCTATCCCTTAGGGCATTTTTTCACTGGTTCTCAGGTTTGCTGCTTTTGGCCACCTTTTTGCTACTCCTCCCGACACCTCTTCTTGCCGCATCTTATCTCATACGCATCTTATCTTTTGTTCTTTTGTGTAGGAGTCAGACAGATTCCTGTTCCTTACCTGGGATCTGGAACATGTGAGGAAGCTGGTGTGGCAAAGAAGGTGTTGCTTCATTCCTGGAAAATATGAGTGGAACAGCAGTTTTACCTGTTGAATCCTAGTTAACCCCTGCTGTTCATATTCAAAATGGGATGATTCCACCAGCAGCAGAAGGCTTGTAGCACAATCCATCTTGAATGCAAATTTGCAAAGCATATTTTCTGACACAAAGGCCATTACCTTGACTCTTCATAGTTTGTACTCCAAAACATGTAACTTTCGAAGAAAAAATCACCTGTCTTAATACGGAAAAAACTCCATGCTTTTCATTCCCTAGTCTTTCAAAAGTGACTGATCTATGGCAAAAGAAAAACTGTTTGGAAAACATCAGACTGAGCCAGTAGTAAAAAAGAAAATTTTATCTCCAAAATTTAGTAGGTCAAGGTCACATATAAAACAAAGAAAAACCTTACCGAAGAATAAGACAATTACAGCAACAATTGATGACAATAAATTTATTAAAAAAAAATGTCAGTTTGAGTTTAGGAAAAACTTAAAGCGTAGGATCCATTACCTTAGCTGGTATTGAAAAATCACATTAATAAGAGAGAAGTCATTAGTTAAGGAGAGAATCTCTCCTCAGAAAACTATGTGAGCTGTTTGTGCACATGGAGCAGGAAAAGAAGCAGTGTCAGCATCTGCCATGGCTAACCTTGACATGATGAATCAAAAGACTGAAAAAATTTTCTGTGTCTCAAATTTTCTGTGTCATTTTATTCTGTATCTCTTCACTTCAGATAAATAACTTTGTTCCAGGTAAAATCAGTGTAATTCATAGGCTCAAATTTTTCTTCCAAGTTCAAAATGTATTTGAGTGCATATATGCTACAGCAGTCTAGATCTGATTTGACAAAGGCCAAAAAGCCTCAAGAGGAAGGGCATTTTTATAATACTGAAAATGCACTTTTGCGTAAAACAAAATCTACTTCTAAATATAATATCACTTTAATTACTTTTATTTCCAATCTATCCACTGATGGGATAACCACGAAATGAACAGCTCAACATCTAACCTCTAGTGTAATGATGTCTTCAATGCCTTCCTAGCACGATTTCTATTGACCTTGCCAGACTATTTCTGTTTCATAGCCTGCCTCTGTCACTCCTTAGTCCTCTGTGTTTATTTGTTTGCCTTCATTATAATTGCAGACCAAGTCCAGATGCTGTTTCCCAAGTGCAATAAGCTGTTGGGTCCTAGGACATCTGTTTGTTTGGTAACAGTATTGCATAATCTTAAGAGAGGGTATAAATTGGAGCCAGGTTCACCGTGTATAGAATGCGGTGAGAACAGTTTCTGAGCATTAGCTGTGACTGAGAAGTCACAGATAAAAAGGTGCTACCTAAACCAGGTACAGTCTTGGAACTTTGTCCTCTGCACTGTTTGCTCTGTTCTGTTCCCCTTGAAATCTTCAGCTGTTTAAAGCAAACAGTTTACCCCTTAGATAACACTCTTATATATATTACTCAGGTTTTACACTAGTGTGCAGGCAAATTCGTTCCAAATTTGTCCCAGGGTGGTTTACTCTCCTTGATATAGGGCCTATTTGATAGAATCATAGAATGGTTTGAATTGGAAAGGACCGTTGAGATCATCTAGTTCCAACTCCCCTGTCATGAACAGGGACACCTTCCACTTAACTAGGTTGCTCAGAACCCCATTCAACCTGGCCTTGTATACTTCCAGGATGGGACATCCACAGCTTCAAACTCCTTTACATCAGATGAAATTAATGGGGAATGTTTTGCAAATTGTTGCTGTCAACATTTAAACCCCCCATACTATGTGAAGGCAATTGGCCTAAGCTGCTTGCAAGTATTCAATGACAAATAAGAACTTTATTTTGAACTTTGTAGAAGTCTGAAGGATAAATGACCTGAATAGATTTTTTTATTAGTTTTGTTCTTTTGTTTCTCCCCTTTGGTCCTATCTTACTTTCATTGAAAGTATTTGACAGGGGCAAGGCAACAGAAGCCCTTTGAGGAAAGAGGTTTGCTGTATCAGAGAGAATATTTTCATAGGAAAAATGCACTCATTGCAAGGCATGTAACAGTTTGTACATTTAGGACTGGACGTTCTTTA